TTGCCGTTTTGCGAATTATTCCTTTCTCGCATTGCCTGAAAAACCACCTCATGCAAGCGTAAATTTTTTTTTTTGCGATATATGGGCGTTTTTGCGAAATTGACGCGTTTCCATTAGGCGTATTTTCAATTCGCAATTTCAATTTGCGCAATTTGAAGGGTAATGGAAACGCGCCTACTGACCCACCACCAAACCATTCATGCTGAACAATGTTACAGGCAGCATAACGTTCTCCACGGCTTCTCCAGACCCTTTCAAGTCTGTCACATGTGCTCAGGGTGAACCTGCTGTCATCTGTGAAAAGCACAGGGCACCAGTGGCGGACCTGCCAATTCTGGTGTTCAATGGCAAATGTCAATCGTGCTCCACGGTGCCGGGCAGTGAGCACAGGGCCCACTAGAGGACGTTGGGCCCTCAGGCCACCCTCATGAAGTCTGTTTCTGATTGTTTGGTCAGAGACATTCACACCAGTGGCCTGCTGGAGGTCATTCTGTTGGGCTCTGGCAGTGCTCATCCTGCTCCTCCTTGCACAAAGTAGCAGATACCAGTCCTGCTGATGAGTTAAGGGCCTTCTACGTCCCTGTCCAGCTTTCCTAGAGTAACTGCCTGTCTCCTGGAATCTCCTCCAATCTCTTGAGACTGTGCTAGGAGACACAGCAAACCTTCTGGCAATGGCACGTATTGATGTGCCATCCTGGAGGAGTTGGACTGACTGTGCAACCTGATGTATCTATTGTTGTACAGTGCACAGCATAAATGAGTACACCCCCTCTGATTAAATATTTAAGGTTTATTTTCTTAATGATCACTAATATAATTCATGGAAAGATGGCAAAATTGAAACATATTAAACATATACTTAATAAAAACAACAAAATATATGCCAATATTTTCTGTAAGATAAGTAAATTAGCCAATTTTGTTTACATGAAGGATTGCAGAAATGAGTACACCCTAGATTTCATTCAGAAAATGTATAATATTATAGTACTTAGTATGTCCTCCAGAACTTAAAGTATACTGCTCTGACCCTTCTTGGCACTGAGTGTACAAGTTCATGATCAGGAAATTACTTGTCTTTAAAATTTTTGGTTCAATATACTTACCTGTTGATCACAAATAGCCTTAAACCTATACACTTTTTTTTTTGTTTGTTTTATTTAGTAACTTTCAGGAGGGTGTACTCATTTTTGCAACACAAAATTTTATTACTTTGATAAGAAAATCTTTTTTTTTGCAATGGTCGCTTTGTCGCATCAAGTGTAGACTAGGCTGTTGCGGCGCGGCGCGTCCGGTGTAGACACTGTGTGACAGTAATCAAAAACGGCCCATAAACAGCGCGGGAAGGTTATTCCTGACGAGACCATTCGGTAACAGAAACGTAGTGATCATCATGATATTAGAAAGATGCACTGAAGACGGACAGAAAGAGGAGAGAGAATAGTCGCGCAAGCAGATAAAATACTGTACCAGACAGAACAAATTCACTGTTTGAGATGCTCGAAATACTGGAAAAAACCCATAAATATTGAATTGGGGTGGGGATTATTATGAATGTATTTCTGAGGACAACTGTCTTCAGAAAAGTTTTGATGGCATTTTCTTTTCCTCTTACCTCTGTAAAATACATACAGTATTAAATGAGTGTATATAAGTGAGCACTGTGTACAGCAGTGGAAACGCTATATTGCTATTGCTGTTCTATAAGTGCCACCTGCTGTCAGAAAGTGAATTTGCCTTTTCATCAGAATCAGAAAGAGCTTTATTGCCAAGTGTGTTTACACACACAAGGAATTCGTCTTGGTGTCAGGAGCTTCCAGTACAGAAAGTAGCCTACAGACACAGTGCAGACATAGGCTACATATAATTAAGGTAATAAGACACTAATAATAAAGAGTAAAAATAAAATATTCATTCAGCCTCTGTTATCATCAGATGTTTTTGTTTTGTGCAGTTGCTTCATGTTGCAGATATTTTTGTTTGTTTGCTTAAGGTTAGTTTGAGCAGTAACAGAGCAAAATAAACAATTAATAAATGAAAAAAATTCAATAAATAAATAGGCAACGAGTATGGGAATCCGCCCATTTTAATGTAAAAAAAATCGCCAAATGGAGTCTGTCACGAAAAATTCTAATCAGTGCATCCTTTGTACATAGATCTGTAGAACAAGTGGGTTACATAACGGTATTTTGAAAAAAAAAAATGTTCTTGAAAAGAAAACAGGATGACTTTAAATAGCATAACTGTATAGTTGTGTTAGGATGAGCTGAGCAAGTCTTGCATATGTATTTCCTGGTTTGAGAGAGAGTTCCTGCTTAAAGAGGAAGTAATGGATAAAAAAAATATACATATTTATTCCATGGGCTGTCTGAATACTGGATTCTGATTGGCTGGTTGTTGTCAACTCTTCCCCGGGATTTTTATTAATGAAATAGCCTAGATACTAGATCGCTACATTACATTCCTCAGCAACGATGGTAAAAAGGCTGTTTTTGAAGTAATTGTTTGTAGAGAGAGACACGCAGCACGCAGGTATACACAACAGTCATCTCTCTCTCTCGCTCTCTCTCTCTCTCTCTCTCTCTCTCTCGATAATTAATTGAAATACATGATATAATTCATTCAAATAAATGTGATCTTTCCGTACTATTTCATCTTTGTGTTTGAATTGAAGCGGGCAGAATGCTTGAGCTAACGTGCCGTAACTGACGAAAATAACCCATTCTAATGTTTACCCATTCGGTCAAATGTTGCGCTGTAAAGAGCAATACTAGTTTTAACTTGTCTATAACTTGGCAAATGACCATGGAATAAGCGGGATAATCAACATATGCCTCTGCTTCGCGTCGGGCGGTTCTTTGCCTCCACGTCGTGCATTTAAAATCCTTTAATGCACGGCTAGCCGTTGATTATCCCTTACTTATATATATATATATATATATATATGTGTGTGTGTGTGTGTGTGTGTATGTATTTTATATATGTATTCCTATTTCTTTTTTATATATGTAATGTTCATTTTATTTTGTTTTGACTCTTGCTCATTGATTGAGAAAGATGTGTGTCAGAATGCTGTAGTTATGATATTGACTACTAGAGACTAACCAGTTAATCAGGAAAAGGCATTCTTTCTTGATAGCATTGCTATTTTCTTTAGACTTTATTTTTTGAGCGTCTTGCTATGCAGCTTTATGGTAAGTGGTCTGAGATATCGAGTATGAATATCCCGCATCAGACTCTGGATGGAGTGCAGCTTGCGTGTCAGATTGTGTGATGTCACTTCCTGTCTGTCCCATCAGGCGAATGAGAACAGTCTGCTGAGTGCGCAGCTGAAAGGATTCCCGCTGTTCCTGCACTCCAACCTGGGCCTGATGGACTGTACCGTCAACCCCAAATCCCCTCTGCTGCATGTCACACGAGCACGACAGGTCAGCTCATGCTTCAATGCTCATCCGGTCAAACTTTCCCAAGACTTCATGACCCCAAGTCCTATAAGTTGTTCTCTTTCTCACAGAATTTTTTTTCCTCTCCAAAACTTATGTTTTCAAAACATTACATTTTCAAAGCTTTTTTTGCCTTCAAAAACATTTTTCTCTTTTCAAAACGTTTTCCTCTCTTCAAAAATGTTTCTCTCTTCTGAACCTCTCTTCAAACACTTCTCTCTTCAAAAAATATTTTTTCTCTTCAAACACTTTTCCCCTTCTTCCAAAACGTATCTTTTCAAAACATTACATTTTCAAAGCTTTTTTTGCCTTCAAAAACTTTTTTCTCTTTTCAGCATTTTTTTTTTCTCTCTCCAAACACTTTATCTTAGCTTAAAAAAGGAAATTGTTTTTGGATAGAAATAAAAAATTTGGAGAGTAAAGAAAAATGTCTTTGGAGGGAAAAAAATCAGAGAGAAAAAAACTACTATCTACACAATTTTTTCACACCTTCATTTTTTTTTGATATTGTGGTTCATGGCTTCTGTAGAAACCTAACTCCCAAATAAAGCGTTTATTTTTCTCTGTATGTCTCAGGTGTTTAACGGTCCTCTCCCCGGGGACGACTGGACCGTCTTCCAGTCCAATCACTCCACCTATGAGCCGGTTCTGCTGGCTAAAACCCGTTCGGCCGAGAGCACTGGACTCATACACACGTCCGTGGTTCAGGATCTCGGGCTTCATGATGGGATCCAGAGGGTTTTGTTCGGACACAACCTCTCCTTCTGGCTTCACAAGCTGGTGTTTGTGGATGCGCTGTCCTTCCTCACCACTAAGAGACTGTCTCTGTCCCTCGAGCGCTTCATACTGGTGGACATCGATGATATATTTGTGGGAAAGGAAGGGACCAGGATGAAGGTGGCAGATGTGAAGGTGCGTTATAGAGATACACCGATTGCTTTTGGATTTTTGCCACGGTTATGTAAAGAAACTGTGCAAAGTAAAGAAACTATGGGGAAATAGAGCTAATGTGATTGGGAAATCACAAGATTTTTATTTATGTTTTGAATACAACACAAAAATATATATGTGGGAAAATCTCATGAAACGATATTTCACACCAAAGGGGAAAAATAAGAAATTATGTATAAAGATAATTAAGCTTGTTTTTAGGGCCATTTTGATGACAAACTTATTGTCAATATTGTGATGCATCCAGGTATTTTATACTCATTATTACAGTAATTGGAGTCTAATGAGAATCATCACGGAAAATCATTGGTCTTTTTCGCTGTTTAAAGTTTACTGTCCCAGATTTTTATCAGCTGAAACCCTTTGAATGATGATAATTTATTGAAATCCCTGAGATCTTAAGTTAATATTTCAAAATAATTTAAAAACAATACATTTGCATGTTCACAGTTCTCTGCTGTCGGTTAATAGTCACGTGGCATGCAGGATAACAAATACAATATTTAACTATTTTAGTTAAGTATTTTAATTTGAATTTTAATAATTTATTTGACATTAAAATATTAAATTATATAAATGATAAATAATCAATAAAATATATATTTTTTATTTTATTTTTATGTTTTTGTGCCACACTAATGCGTAATAGTGATGCAACTAACATGAAAATAATGCCACAATGCAAGAAAAATTCTTAAAAATGCTTAATATTCTTCGTGCTAAACATAATTTCTTATTTTTCTCCCCTTTAAATGTATTTAATTTTGAGGTGAAATGTGACCTGAACATATTTATGACAGATTTTATGAGATTCTGAACAAAAGATCAGCATAAAATCATCATTAAGGTCTGTAAAAGTAGTCCGTTTAACTTATTTGTGATCACTGCTGTGAGAATCGGACACAACTGTTAAAGGGGTCGTATGATGCGATTTCAAGTTTTCCTTTTTTCTTTGGAGCGTTACAAGCTGATTGTGCATAGATAAGATCCCTGAAGTTGCAAAGACTAAAGTCTCAAAACCAAAGAGATATTCTTTATCAAAGTTAAGACTCTGCCACACCCCCCTAAAACGGCTCGTTCTAACACGCCCCCACATATCTACGTCACTATGTGGAAATATTTGCATAATGCTGCCCAAATGTGCACGCAAAGAAAGAAGGCGTGGTTTCAGTAACCGCAGTTAGTGTTGAAGCAGCATGTCAGGGAGACGCTGTGTGTTTCAGTGCGAAGGCAAAAGCACTTCCAGAAGTAGATGCATTTAGGAATCTTTAAGATTACTTACAACAGAACAGCAATGCATTTTATGGACGACCGTTTCGTGAACCTAGGAGAGGAGGTAATTCTGACTTTGCTTTGACAATCTGGCGCTTCTCAATCAGCTACGGTTTTGTTATTAGTTTAAGTAATGATCTTTAAAAAAGCATCATATGACCCCTTTAATATTTTTCTGAACTTTCCCTTTAATCTCTCATGAAAATTTTTTCATTTGTGTCTGTTCAGATGGAAGCAGAAACTGCTGTAAAACTCCATCTGAAGCTCAGTGACGTGTGTGTGTGTGTGTACTTGTTTAACTATACTTGTGGTGGCCAAATGTCCTCACTTATATTGTGAAATAATATGACCCATTAGTGAGGACATTTGTGTGGTTCTCACTAGTTAAAAAAGCTTATAAATCGGCCAGACATTTATAAAGCCACACAAACGTGTGTGTGTGTTTGTTCACTTCAGGAAAGAAGAGTTTAATGAAATCGTTTCATTCACTTGCCACATAAACATGCTGTTTATAGTTGTGAGTGTGTGTTTGATGCATGTAGATGAATATGATGAAGCTCAGAGCAAATACACACAATCATATGAATCATGAAAACAAGCATCTGATGATGAACACAAACCACAGGAACAAAATAAAGACTTCAGACTGAGAGAAGAGATGTCCGACACATCTGATGAAATGATGGATTCTACTGTGAGTGTGTGTGTGTGTTTGCTATAGTTTATCTTCAGAAGTGAGAGAAATCTAACAAACTTTCCTTCACAGTCGCTTCCAGATGTCTTCATATGGAAATCACCATTTCATGTGTTCATGAATTATGTTTAGACGCGTGAATATCATTAATAATGTGTGTATCTTCTCAGGCGTTGGTTGAAACTCAGAATGAGCTGCGAAGGTCGATTCCAGGTTTCACTTTTAACCTGGGCTTCTCAGGGAAGTTCTTCCACGCAGGTGAGTGAAAACCACACAAGATCAGCTTTTGAGGAGTCTTGAATTTATGTAATTTTTAAGTATATACACCCATTTTATTTGAATTCAATATTTTTATATCAATATGTAAATCCATAATTAATTACAAAATGAATACTAAAACATTCCCTAATATATATATATGTATGTGTGTATGTGTGTGTGTGTGTGTGTGTGCGTGCATGCAATTTCAACTGTATTATTTCATATACGTATATGTATATTAATATGTATAGAATTATATATAATTTCATTTAGAAATAATTAAAAAAATTAAACACCTTTTTTAAATGCTACATATATATGAATAAATGTGTCAGGCACTGATGAGGAGGATCGGGGTGATGATCTGCTGCTGTCGTATGCTGATGAGTTCTGGTGGTTTCCTCACATGTGGAGTCACATGCAGCCGCACGGCTTCCATAACCAGAGTGTGTTAGCAGAGCAGATGATGCTGAACCGACGCTTCGCTGAGGTCAGACGCGCACACACACACACACACACACACACACACACACAGAGAGGTCTGGAGTGATGTTTCATCGGGTGTTTGTCTTGTAGGATCACTCCATCCCGACTCATCTGGGTTATGCGGTGGCTCCTCATCACTCCGTCAGACACACACACACACACACACACACACACACACACAGGTCTCGAGTGATGTTTCATCAGTGTTTGTCCTGTAGGATCACTCCATCCCGACTCACCTGGGTTACGCGGTGGCTCCTCATCACTCCGGTGTGTATCCCGTCCACATCCAGCTGTACGAGGCCTGGAAGCGTGTGTGGGACATCAGAGTGACCAGCACTGAGGAGTATCCACACCTCAAACCCGCTCGATTCAGACGTGGATTCATCCACCGTGGCATCAGGGTGAGTGTGTGTGTTTGGTTGAATAGCTTTTAAAATGATACTGTAACATAAGCCACTTTTTCACGGACTCACAATTGCATAAACATTTGTCACATTTTGTTCCCAAATGACAGTCTGATCTCTTAAATCAGTCATGAAGCACAACAGCAAGAGCGTTTACACTCTTATTGCTTATTTCTTACTGCTTATTCACCACAGTTGAATGAGTGATTAATAAATGAATATTTATCCTTTATCCACACAGGACAAATAACCTGAAAAGCATTTAAAGGAAAAAATATGATGGGTTTTCAAGTGCTCATCAATGTAAATAATTATTTTGTCATTTGTAAAATAATTATGAAATAATTGTTTTATCATTATTTTATAGTTAATAATTACTTTATTGAACATTTTATGAAACATTATTGCATGTATTTTATAATTATTATACAAAATATGAAACAATTATGAAATAATAAATAATGAAATAACTAACATAATTACCATAAAATAATTATAAAATAAAATTGAACTATTAAAATAACAAAATAATATAGAATAATATAGAATAACTATAAAATAGTTATGAAATAATATTACATTAAAAAAATTGGGTTTCCCAGTGCTTATCAGTGCAAATAGTTCTTTTGTAATAAATTTTTTAATAATTATGAAATAATATATATTATGAAATTGACAAATATAAAATATAAAAATGATATATTTCATAATTACTATTGGGTTTCCCAGTGCTTGGTGCAAATAGTTCTTTTGTAATAAATTTTTTAATAATTATGAAATAATATATATTATGAAATTGACAAATATAAAATATAAAAATGATATATTTCATAATTACTTTATAGTTAAAGTAATTATGATATAATATTAAATGTATAGTTTCATAAAAATATTATTTTGTAATTACTGTAAAAAATAATTATTGAATAATATTAAAATCTAAAATTAAAATAATGGATTTCCACTCTATTCATAACCAGTTATTCTACATAAATTCTGCTTAGAGCAATGCTTTTTATTGGAATAATATGATCATCACCTCGCACTCATGGTTTTGATTCAAATATTTTTCTAAAATAATAAATGCACCACATCCAATTGGACGGCTGCATCTGACTAACCGCAGCAGCTGAAATATTTTATATTGTAATGCATTCAGAGTTCAAATCAGATCAGCAGATCTCTCTCTTATATGGAAATCAATGACTTTCAGTCCATTCCCTATCATTTGTGAGACAGTGAAAAGGCAGCTTTAAAATCAGCACTCAAGACGCTGTTTGTCAGAGCTTTTGAGACACTATAAGAACAGAGACTCGGCCCGTAACAGTCAAAGCTGTTGATCTCACGCACAACCAACAGTTAACAATACGACCCCTGAATTAAGAGTGAAAACTGTCCCTCCGTCTCATTCCCTGTTTGATTTATCCTTTATTTCAGAAGCAGATTAATATTCCGCTTGCTCTCTTTCATCGATTCTCTAACGAGTTTGAGCTCCTGAGTTCAGTGTGAGATGTTATGAATATTACATTAGCTCACATCTATTTATTTCCAGAGAGACAGGCACTGTCCTGGAGCCCATGAGAAGAATGTGTGTGTGTGTGTGTGTGTGTGTGTGTGTTAGGCAGTGTGAAGGGAGAACTGATTGTGTGTGTGTGTGTGTGTGTGTGTGTTTTGCTCAGGTTTTGCCCAGGCAGACGTGCGGTCTGTTCACACACACCATCTTTCATAAGGAGTACCCCGGCGGGCCGCAGGAGCTGGAGCGGATCATTGACGGAGGGGAGCTGTTCCTCACTGTCCTGCTCAATCCCGTCAGTCCCTCTTTACCAACTCTATACATCAACTTACGCTGTGCTTATGATTGTACTGTCAGCTGGACTGGGAGATATAGCTATATAAATGATGATATTCTGTAAACATCTTAATATTTATATATTTGATTTATATATATATGACTTAAAACGCTCAGTGTAGCCAAGTAGATGTGTGTGCTTAAACATAAAATACAGTACAGATGTAGTTACAAAATAATCAAGACATGCTGAACTTCAGATATTTTTCCTCCTACCTTCATGAAAATGCAAGTAGGTAAACAGTGTTTCCTATTAATACTTTGTTGGTCTATAAATAATATATAATAATTATTAAACGATTAATAATTATAAATGATCAAAATAACTGAAATCATTATGCAGTTATAAAAATAACTATTTTAATATTTATATTTTGTCATTATGAAATTATCTAAAATATGAAATAATTATTACATGAAAAAATAACTGTAAAATAATTATGAAATATTACAAATAAAATAATTAAATAATTGTTTCAGGCTTTCTTATTATTTACCGGCTATTCAAAAGAACTTTGAAAATTCTTTCAAGATTTGAAGATTTGAAAAAAGTTGATGTTGTAATCAAGACATCTTTTTAATAAATGAACTCAAGGAAGAATAATATTTAATAATTCTATTGATATAGATCAATGAAACAAATATTAATAATCAACATTATTTACCTGTTTGTATTTTCACCAAAGGTACAAAGAGTGAATAATGAATTAATATTTATCCAGACAAAACAAATGACCTGCAAAACATTTGAAGGAAAACATCCAGAGCTTATCAATGTAATTAATTATTTTGTAATTGTAAAATAATTATTTTATAATGATGAAATAATGTAATGTAAAATGAATTCTGAATGAATGAATCATAAATTATACAATATTTTTATGCAATTATAAAAATAGCTGTTTTAATGGTTAATTTTATTGTAATTTTTTCATAATTATTTTATACTTTATATCATTTCATAATTATAAAATATAAAATAATTATGAAATAATAGTAAGCGTAAAACAATTACAAAATAATCGTTTCAGACTTATATTTATAATTGGCCATTCTACAGAAATTGTATTTCCAGTGAAATGGCTTTGATTGGCTGAAGTGTGGTGTTTCTCAGATTAGCATCTTCATGACGCACCTGTCGAACTACGGGAACGACTGCCTGGGTTTGTTCACCTTCAAACGGCTGCTCAACTTCCTGCTCACCTGGACTCACCTGAAACTACAGACGCTTCCTCCGCTGCAGCTCGGCAACAAATACTTCCAGCTGTTTCCGTCGGACGCCGAGCCGCTCTGGCAGGTCTGTGACGACGGCTATTTACTCAAAGTGTTGAGTTGAACTACAGGAACAAAATATAAATCTGCATTTGAAATCTGAATGAAATGCGTCATGATGTGATTAAAAGCTCTGAATCCAGCTTCACTGTGATTGGCTGCTGCTTACAGCTCATTTACATAAAGTCCAGCATTTCCCGACTCTTTCTCAGCTCTCGCTGTCAGTCTGCTTGTGACGCTTTCTCTCGTCTCGGTGAAATCTGTCAGCGGTGTGATCTTGTGTTTAGGACCCCTGTGAGGATAAAAGACACAAGGACATTTGGTCGAAAGAGAAAACCTGCGACCGTTTCCCAAAACTGCTGCTCATTGGCCCTCAGAAGACGGGTGAGGAGCAACAGCGCCACCTGACAGACGCATGCAGTACTGCACACACTCTTTACACTGCCAGATTACTTTAGACTTTATTGGCATGATTGTGTTTTAAAATATTGTCAAAGCGTACACCAAACAAGTGATGAGAAGAAAAAACTATTAAATTAATAATTAAAATGAACAGTTGAAACGGTGTTAAAATAAAGTGCTTAGTAATGAATTAGAAAAAAAATATTATATATTATAAAAATAGCTAAGAGATCTATTAAAAAAATCTAAAAAGAAATGAGATGAAATGACTGAAAGATTCATTTAGATGATACATTAATTTATGTCACTGTTATTATTTTAAATATATTTTAAATAAAACATTAAAAACATTTTATTAAAACTAAAAACAAAACAAAACAAAAAAGTATTGTTATTTAAACTTATTTTATTTCAGGTAGTTGCCAAAGAAACATTTTTCATTTTCATTTAGTTTAACTTTTAATTTTAGAAATATATATATATATATATATACAGTGGGTACGGAAAGTATTCAGACCCCCTTAAATTTTTCACTCTTTGTTATATTGCAGCCATTTGCTAAAATCATTTAAGTTAATTTTTTTTCCTCATTAATGTACACACAGCACCCCATATTGACAGAAAAACACAGAATCGTTGACATTTTTGCAGATTTATTAAAAAAGAAAAACTGAAATATCACATGGTCCTAAGTATTCAGACCCTTTGCTCAGTATTTAGTAGAAGCACCCTTTTGATCTAATACAGCCATGAGTCTTTTTGGGAAAGATGCAACAAGTTTTTCACACCTGGATTTGGGGATCCTCTGCCATTCCTCCTTGCAGATCCTCTCCAGTTCTGTCAGGTTGGATGGTAAACGTTGGTGGACAGCCATTTTTAGGTCTCTCCACAGATGCTCAATTGGGTTTAAGTCAGGGCTCTGGCTGGGCCATTCAAGAACAGTCACAGAGTTGTTGTGAAGCCACTCCTTCGTTATTTTAGCTGTGTGCTTCCGTACCCACTGTATATATATATATATATATATATAAAAATAAAAGTACTAAAATAACTAAGACTTAATAAAAAAAAGGTATATAGACATATTTAAAATAATTACAAAATAACAAAAACACAACAAAATTACTGAAATTTTAAACAGAACTTTAAACGGGAAATATCAAAATAAAATAAAATACTAAATATTTTTTTTTTTTTATCTAATTGTAAATATACTGTAATAACAGATTTTTTTATCAGATCAATGGTACATTTTCTCCATGTTTTTCTCAGGAGCGACGGCTCTCTATCTGTTTCTGGGGATGCATCCTGATCTGAGCAGTAATTACCCCAGTAAAGAGACGTTTGAGGAGATTCAGTTCTTCAGCGGTCACAATTATCAGCGGGGCATCGACTGGTGAGTGTCAGTGGAGCTGCAAACATCATAACGCTGCTTGTTTGCTTTTATTTCTCAGTTTTCTTAATCTCTCCTGCAGGTATATGGAGTATTTCCCCCTCCCGTCCAACAGCGGCTCTGATTATTATTTTGAGAAAAGTGCCAGTTATTTTGATTCAGATGTAGCTGCGGTCCGAGCCGCAGCGCTGCTGCCCAGAGCGAAAATCATCACGGTTCTGAGTGACCCTGTGGACAGAGCCTACGCCTGGTACCAGGTACATACTACACCATTTACATCTGACCAACTTACTTTCTTTATTAACAAAGCATTAAAGCAAACACACATTTTGTGGAGGCGCAAGTAAGAGACTTTGTAAAGAAAGCCTTTGTAAAGACAAAATGATTTATTAATGTACAGTACCATGACTTTACCACATTAACCATTAGGGTTGGGCGATGTCTACCAAATTGGCATCGGACGATGGCTGCAGTGAAACATCGTGATGGACGATGACATCGGGGGGCGGGCCGGGGTTAGGGGTGTGCCCGAAGCGTGAAACAAATAACGCGTTCTACGGAGCCACTAAAAGGTTAGCCGCGTACTAGCGCTCGAAACAGCGTCACACACGGTGGCCTAGAGTGAGCGGCGGCGGCCTATCCAGTGCTTGGCCAGCTATCCAGTGCGTTGTGATTGGCCTTCACGACATGGCGGCGGCACCACAATACTACAGCGAGAATAAAAGTTACGCCTTCTTTCTTTGCGTGAACATTTGGGCGGCGTTATGCAAATCTTACCACATAGTGACGTAGGTATGTGGGGGCATGTTAGAACGAGCCGTTTTAGGTAGGCGTGGCTGACTCTGAATTTTTATAAAGAATATCTCTTTGGATTTGAGACTTTGCAACTTTACAGATCTTCTTTATGCACCAAGAGCTTGTAACACTCCAAAGAGAAAGGAAAAATTTAATTCGCACCATATGACCCCTTTAATACACTTCCGGTGAAAAGTTTGAAATAATTTTCACCTTCTCTTCTGCTCACCAAAGCTCAAAAAATACAGTAAAAACAGTAATATTGGGAAATGTTATTTCCATGTAATTTAACTAATTTAGTTTTCTGTGTGAATACATTGTAAAATTTAATTTATTCCAGTGATGCCAAGCTGAATTTTCAGCATTATTACTCCAGAATATTAGAATGATTTCTGAAGGATCGTGTGACACTAAAGACTAAAGTAATGATGCTGAAAATTCAGCTTTGCATCAAAAAAGTTAATTACATTTTACAATGTATTCAAGTAGAAAACAGCTATTTTAAATAGTAATAAGATATATTTTTGATCAAATAAATGCAGCCTTGATGAGCAAAAGAGGCTTTTTTCAAAACCATAAAAAAAAATCTAGATTTAATAGTGACATGCAAACTAAGGTTAATAGTTGGCATGCAGAACCGTTTATAACGAATATCAGGAATTTTTGCAAGCTACAGGATGTTTTCATCTCCTTTCTACACTTTTTTTTTCCCCCAAATGATGTTTTGCAGGTTTGACCCCAAGAAAGGCTTCTGGTGTCACCTGCTGGACGGAGGAAAGACCACGTGTTTAGGGAAGAGTAAAGGACAGAGATACGCAGACATGGACATACAAGTAACTCTTTTCACTCATTGAATGTATTTATTGAGTTTATTGTAAGAAGAAGTAGAGGAAATGCACATTCACAGTCTGTCCCTCTTCATCAGTCTCAGGTGTTTTTGAGGAACTACTACAGAGATGCTAATATCCAGCTCTCTAAACTGCTGTACAAAACGGGTCAGGTTCTTCCCGGCTGGCTCAGAGAGGATCTGCTCAACATCAGGTAACAGAGGCTCTTGTTTGGCCAGTGCCACAAACATCTGGAGTGCCATGAGACTCTCGGATGGACGTACAGGAGGAGCAAACCACCTCTGACTGGAGCTTGTTCTTACCTAGATGAGTTTGAACTAAAAACTGACTTAGTGCTTTAAAACTCGCTGATACTAATTTTGTAATTATTTAAAGGACAGTATTTATGAGCTGACTCACATCTTTCCTGTTATTGACAGACTGTGCTGAACTAATATGAAGATCCTCAAACATATTGCTACTGAAACCTATACAGTTTTTTTTACTCAACAGATTTGATACATACTCAATATGATTTTATAAAGTCAAAAATCATGCCAACGAACTGTGACGTCTGATATGGACATTCGCATTTTGTAACTTGTTGTTTTTACATTTTTAGTTAGTTCTCTGTTGTTGTTTTTGTGTGCTCGGGATGGTTTTACATTTTCTAACGTGGACTTTTAAAGAAGTCGATTTAGTCACGCTTTAAACAGAGGACTTGCTTCTTCTGTGAAACTTTGTTGAGCTCAAAAAATGACAGAAAAGTCCTATCAAACAGTAGTGCACTAAATTCCATCTCTTCAGAATCAGAAACCATGTGATGCTCTATATGACAAACAGACTGAAATTTCAGTGATTTGTTGCATTTTATTCATGTTCATAATATAAAATATCTTTTGTGTTTCACGGAAGAATGCCATACAGGTTCGAGCAAAAAGTGTGAGAAAACCATTATTTTTGGTTGAATTATCCATTTAAAGTTGTATCTCATAAGCTAAATAATACGTAGTTAAATATTAGAGCTAAATAATAATGCATTTCTACTCTTAGCATGAATTTGAACTTGAATTTGAATTTGAATTTGATTTCATGAACATGAATTTACATATTTATTTTTTTCATAAAGGTCACCTGTCATTTGTGTTCACTAGAGCTGGTGTGAATTTCTGTCATGCATGAAGGTGAAATTATACGATATATTGAATATCGGGCGGATGTTGAAAAATAACTCATGTGACCTTTGGAAAACCCATCACTTGTAGTTTTATTACTACAGGGATTATTTGGTAGCACCCCAAAACCGTGATATTAACAGTTTCTATGGATTATTGATATGGTAATATGAATATATGTATGCAGATTGAAGCATCTCTTACTACATGATTCAGAAATTAATTCTCATGTTTTCTTCTTTGCCTGTGATCTGACCTGGTCAAACACATGCAGATTAGAGCAAAAATAAACCACACTGTTACTAATGCTGGAGATGTGTGTGTGTGTGTGTGTGTGTGTGTGTGTGTGTGTGTGTGTGTGTGTGTGTGTGTGTGTGATATTCTTCGATGTCGTGGTGTTGTTGCTATGGTTACACATTTCCTCATCTCTTAAGTGTTTTTATGAGTTTAATTACATTCATATTGTGTTTTGGTTCGAAAAGCTCCAGAGAATTTGAGATTATTAATGTGAGTTTCTCATGTAAGAAGCTTTTCTAGCGGACTTCTTGAAAGCATTTTGGGCAAGGACTTTTATTTGTTGGTTTTTAAAATACATTTCATGACACATTAGTGATGTATAAAAATGGTGTAGTGCATTTGTTCAAACACACGGTGGCAGCAGAAGCTTTCAATATTATGAGTTTTTGAGAGCTGAAACAATCCCGTATCTTAAAGGGGTCAGATGATGCGATTTCAATTTTTTCTTTCTCTTTGGAGTGTTACAAGCTCTTGCTGGTGGAAAACCTGTTTACAACAAAGTCATCGTTATAATGGTAACTATAAAGTTTAATAGTTATTATAATTCCATGACAATAGTAAAACTCACACCACAACTGTAATGATATCGTTGGAATCGCTTTCATAACGACTATTTCCAGCTGACTTGAAAGAGCGCGAAAATTTAAGCGGCAAATGACGTAACTGTGGCGCGCCCTTAGAATAAAAGGGACGTTAACGTTCCTTTGTGTGGACGCTAAAATAACTGTCGTTTTTGGTGTGATAAAAGCAGTTTTCTTTCTTTTTGACTTGAATTACTTAATGTTCCTGGTCTTTTTGTGAATGATTCATAAGTCAAAAAGTTTATTTTTTATAATCGTTCATCAAAATGTAATAACCAGCTCCACATATCAAACAACCTTCCTTTGCAGCTTTGTTTGGATCGTGCTAGTTTGTCGCTGGTCCAAGACGGCATTCAGTCTCAGGTAACCTTACAGTGACTGTACTAGTCAGAAGATTGTTTATTAGTTGTACAATTTCAGAAAGAAAATTTTCCCGGTAAGTTTGAATAATAAGTTGAGTTGGTGTTGGTCACATGTCATTGGGTGATTTTGAAGTGGTTTATGGTGGGTTACGGTGGTCTGAGCGTCACTGTAGACACTGGTAACGAGTTTCTCTAGAAACGTTGCTGGCTGGAATCAACATCTATATCACTTGATCTCCAAGATGAGGCTTCTAATGGGTGTCTGACACCAGAGATGGGCACAATTACATCAAAAAGAATTTAGTTACAAATTACAAATACTTGCTCATCAAATGTATTTCATTTAAAATACAAAATACTGGTGTGAGAAATGTATTTAATTCAAATACAAATAATTTGTCATTTGAAAATACAAACAATATTTACAAGCAGTCAAGCTCAAGAGACAGTGCCGTTACATTTAGATACACATATAAGAGACCGATAAGTGCTTTCCCCTCCTTGAACAACTTATAAAAAAAACATATTTCTAAACAACATATTCTTTAACCCTAACACTACACAATATATCCAATATATTGAACCATATTTCTTCTCATTTCTGTTTACTTGATTACCATCAAGCATTTCTACACTTTTTTTGTTTTTTGTTTATTGCTCCTTTATCGTTTCTTTGTAAGCATGTCAAAAATTAAGCAGTCCTGCAAAACTGAATTGTCATACCACCTAATCCTACTCGAGAGAATGACTCAAACTATTTTACTGTCAACAGTAAAGATTAACTCCTGAAAATGTTGATATTTAGCTGTTAAAGGGCTCTATGTAGAATACAGAAACCCTTGTTATTAGCGACACCTAATAATAATTAGTCTACAAGCTTTCATTTTTTAAGTTTCGTTACATGCGGTTCAGACATTGACAATAATATTTATTTTAATTTAATACTTGAAAAATGTCCCTTTGTCTATAGAAACAAGTAGCTGACTTTTGCCAAGCAAACTAACGTCACTTGTCAGCTAGCAAGTAAAGTTCTAGAGCAGCTTTTTCTTCTGTCCTGTAATAACATTCAGTGAGCAATATCTGATAGTATATATTTTAATACATATTTAGCCAGTTTGCACTGAGCACAAAACAGCTTCTTTAATTTTTTCGCAGTTTGAAGATGGAACCATGGACAAATTAAAGGTTTATTTCCCTCAAAAATGGAAATTCTGTCATTAATTACTCACCCTTGTGGCATTTCACACCCGTAAGACCTTCATTCCTCTTCCAACACAAATGGAGATCTTTTTGATGAAATCTGAGAGCTTTCCCTCCATAGGCTGCAACGCAACTTATACATTCAAAGCCCAGAACGGTAGGAAAGACACAATTAAAGTCACTCTATGTGACTTCAGTGTTTAACCTCAATTTTTTAAGTGACGTGAGTGCTTTGCACAATAAAACATAATTTGCAACTTTATGAAAATATTGATCTGCATTGTGTGTTCACGAGAGCAGTAAAACGCATTTGTGTTGTGTTCATGCCATAGAAGACTCGCGTCAACACAACGCACATGAGTAAGTGTTCAACATGTGGATAAATGTTTGGATAATAGTTTTGGAAATAAAGTGGTAAATTATGTTTTTGGTGCAAAAAAGCACTCACGTCACTTAATAAAATTGGATTACTTAATGATAAACTTAATGACATGGATTACTTGATGTCTTTCCAACCGTTCTGGACCTTGAATGTGTAAGTTGCATGACTGACTGTAGAGGGACAGAAAGCTCTCGGGATTTCATCAAAAATATCTTCATTTATGTTCCAGAAATGAAGAAAGGTCTTACAGGAGTGGAAAGACACGAGGATGAGTAATTAACAACAGATTTTTTTTTTTTTGGTGGGGGTGGGGGTTGGGGTTGTGAAAGAACACAATATACAAACCTGAAAAGTCCAGAAGCTTAGTATTGAGGAAGGGGCACATTCAGGACTGGTTCCGCTTCAGGATCAAAGACACCATAATCCCAACGGTCCTAGAGAGACCAGTGAAGAGCTTGGGGAAGTGGTATAGGGCAGACCTCAACGATAAGTGGGGTGTGAGGGAGATGATTATCCAAGTAGACACCTGGATGACATCCTTAGAGAAGAGCGGCCTACCCGGCAAATACAAGGCCTGGGGTTACCAGCATGGGGTACTTCCTAGGCTGCTCTGGCCTCTGCTTGTTTATGAGGTACCGGTCTCTACTGTCAAGGGATTGAAGAGGAAGATTAACACCTAAGGAGGTGGCTGGGTGTCCCAAAAAGCTTCTGTTCCATTGGCGTGTACAGCACAGGCATGCAGCTGCCAGTGACATCGGTGCTCGAGGAGTATAAAGCAACAAAGACATGCCAGGCCATGATGCTGCGAGACAGCAAGGACGAAAGAGTACGCCAGGCAGGCACTGTGGTCAGGACGGGTCATAAGTGGTCAGCCAGCAGAGAGAGCACTGACGGAGGCTAAGGATCGGCTGCAGCATGCCGACATCATTGGGACAGTAGCTCAGGGCAGGCTTGGACTGGGTTGCTTCACCAGAACGAGCTAGAACAAAGCTGACTCAAAGGAACGCCGCAGCATGATACAGAGGGAGGTCCGTAAGGCAGAGGAGGAAACCATGAAAAAACAGGGCAGCTGGACAAGGTGGGAGGGCGTACGAGAAAGGGCCCTGACATGGCAGGATATTTGGACCATGGAAGGATGCCGGATAAAGTTCTTGATGTGTTCTGTCTACGATGTTCTGCCTACTCCATCAAACCTCCATATTTGGGGGATGGCAGAGAGCCCCAGCTGCACATTATGTGGAAAGTAAGCCAACCTTGAACATGTCCTCTCAGCATGCCAGTCAAGTTTGGCAGATGGGAAATTCTGGTGGCGTCATGATAAGTTCCTGTCTCAGTTGGCGGATGGTGTGGAACAGGCAAAAAAAATAAGGTTAAACAACTTCCCGACGGGCACCATTTTATACAGTTCGTCAGGACAGCAGAGAGCACTGCAGCAGGACGGAGGAGTAGAGGGGTCCTGGCCTCAGCAAATGATTGGGACATGCGGGCAGACCTGAAGAAGCAGCTCAAATTCCCAGAGGAGATAGCACACACTAGCCTCAGACCGGATATTGTCCTCTGGTCTAGAGGCACCAAGCAGGTGGTGCTCGTAGAGTTAACAGTATCCTGGGAAGAAAGGATGGAGGAGGCCCATGTATCAAAATAGTTAATTACAAATTACATTTGATTTTTTTTGTCCAGCAAAATACAAAATACATATTTAGTAATTAAATATGTATTTCAAATACATTTAATTAAAATACTGCCCATCTCTTTCTGACACCACTTTATCAGGTTCATGTTCAGGTAATACATGTAATCCAAAGCTCCAATATAAACATGATGTTTAAAACTAATTTTAACCTAGAATTTTTAAGAAATGGAGTTAAAAACAGGAAAGGTTTTGCAGAGACATGTTCATTGCTATCAGCCAGTCAGATGTTAGTATTGAGCTCACAAAATGTTTAACCAATCACCATCTATGATTAAGGGGTTGAGGTATGGTTATGGTTCAATTTGATTGACGGGTATTTTTCCTCACAGTAAACGCTGATCCAACAACATATCTGTCTTTAAAAAAATCTTGGTCCTTATTTACAAAATATAGAGTAAACTTTATGTCAAATCATTCCATCATGCATGATCCACACTGAAGTTCGTATTTATTCTTTGGAGTCTCCAAGTATCAGTTACACACAAACATTGATAAAAAGCAACAACAAGAGTTTCTCAAGGCAAATGGTGAATGGTGGCTAGACAGCCTTTAAAAAAAAGTTTAAAAAAGTTTGAAGGTTATGTAGCTCTTGTGTGATTTGGTTCTTGACCAGAAAGATTGAGTGGAACTGAGCAGCCGTTTGAAGGACAGACAGATGTCAAGCAACATTAAATGTTTATTAAAGTTTGAATGACCACAGAAAATAATTTTTTTCCCCTTGTCTCAATTACCTTTCTCAATTTATAACTGAAGTTTAGTCGTATAACCAAATTAGCGGAGTCATTTGAACTCAATAAATAAATAGTTCAATCAAAAATGAAAATTTACTCACCTTCAAGCCACTGAGATGGAAATGAGTTTTTTTTCATCAGATTTAGCAAAAGTTAGCATTAAATCACTTGCTCACCAATTGATCTTCTGCAGTGAATGGGTGCCGTCAGAATGAGAATCCAAACAGCTCATAAAAACATCACAATAATCCACAAGTAATCCACACCACTCCAGTCCATCAATTAACCTCTTGTGAAGTGAAAAGCTGCATGTTTGTAAAAAACAAATGCGTTAAGATGTTTTTAACTTCAAACCGTTCCAGCTAAAATAAAAGCTATAATCCATAATAACGTTTCCTCCAGTAACAAAGTTGTCTTATCTGAATCAGGAGAGAAATATGCACAGATCAAGCAATGTTTACAAGCCAAAACAGTTTTAAACAAATACTATGTGATTGGATTTTGAGAGGACAACATCGCTATTAACAAACCATTAACTATGACTTTTGCCTTAATAAACTAAACCCCTAATTTGCTGCTTCTTAATAGTTAGTAAGGTGTTTGTAAAGTTTAGGTATTGGTAGGATTACCAATTAGGGATGTAGAATATGGTCATGCAGAATATGTGCTTTATAAGTATTAATAAACAGTCGTGATACTCTCGTGAATGGCAGCTGACTGACCCAGAAGAGAAGAAATCGTTGAATAAAGTTGATATTTTTGTTGTCTTTGCGCACAAAAAGTATTTCGTAGCTTCATAACATTACAGTTGAACCACTGATGTCACATGGACTATTTTATCGATGTCCTTACTACCTTTCTCAGCCCTGAATGTGTCAGTTGTGTTGCTGTCTATGGAGGGTCAGAAAGCTCTCGGATTTCATCAAAAATATCTTAATTTGTGGTAGCTCTTGTGTGATTTGGTTCTTGACCAGAAAGATTGAGTGGAACTGAGCAGCCGTTTGAAGGACAGACAGATGTCAAGCAACATTAAATGTTTATTAAAGTTTGAATGACCACAGAAAATAATTTTTTTCCCCTTGTCTCAATTACCTTTCTCAATTTATAACTGAAGTTTAGTCGTATAACCAAATTAGCGGAGTCATTTGAACTCAATAAATAAATAGTTCAATCAAAAATGAAAATTTACTCACCTTCAAGCCACTGAGATGGAAATGAGTTTTTTTTCATCAGATTTAGCAAAAGTTAGCATTAAATCACTTGCTCACCAATTGATCTTCTGCAGTGAATGGGTGCCGTCAGAATGAGAATCCAAACAGCTCATAAAAACATCACAATAATCCACAAGTAATCCACACCACTCCAGTCCATCAATTAACCTCTTGTGAAGTGAAAAGCTGCATGTTTGTAAAAAACAAATGCGTTAAGATGTTTTTAACTTCAAACCGTTCCAGCTAAAATAAAAGCTATAATCCATAATAACGTTTCCTCCAGTAACAAAGTTGTCTTATCTGAATCAGGAGAGAAATATGCACAGATCAAGCAATGTTTACAAGCCAAAACAGTTTTAAACAAATACTATGTGATTGGATTTTGAGAGGACAACAGGGGATGGACTTTGTTACCTGAGGAAGTGTTATTATGGATTATGGACTTGTATTTTAGCCAGAGGCGATAGTTTGAAATGAAAACATCTTGATAATAGATTTATATTTCTTACAAACATGCAGCTTTCGCTTCACCAAATGTTAACTGATGGACTGGAGTGGTGTGGATTATTGTGATGTTTTTATCAGCTGTTTGGACTCTCATTCTGACGGCACCCATTCACTGCAGAGGATCCATTGCTGAGCAAGTGATGGAATGCTACATTTCTCCAACATTTCTTTACAGTGTTCTTTAGTTCATGACTTTCATCTTTTATCTCCCTGCTTGTCCGTAAACAAACATGTTGCTAGGCAACAGGCCCCTGCAGTCGTGCTGGTGGTGGTTGTTAACGGAGGGTCTCGAGCCAGTATTGTTCCTGAAACGCTCCCCTCCCCCTGAACCAGGAGTCTGAAACACTCTTCTCCAGCGGGAGGAGGAGACACTGGCTTTATGAAGGCCACAGCACTTACGGGAACGAATAAAGAACACATTCCTACAGTCCATCCTAAAGGAATGTTTACACCATTCCCTTATAAACTTCTATTTTCTCATCTGGGTCTCGTCAAACGTTTGTTCTAAAAGAATGTTTCTCAACAACAACAAAAAATTGTCTTTAATGTCTCCTACACAGTAGTGACATTAAATGCTGGCTTTTGTTAAGATATTCAGATATTTCTCCTTAGGAAAAAATACTCTCCTCTAGAGTTTCAGGAGAATCTCATTATTGCCTCAAACTGCAGATTTGCAATCGAAAGTCAGAGATCTCAGTATGAACGTTTCTCATCAAATCATCTGAGCTGCTATTTAAATTAATTATGTGAACTTCCCTGCTAACAAAAATATGTTTTGCTAATGTTCCATTAAGTTATTCAAAATGTCCAGTTTTTTAAATGTTTTATTTTTGGAACATTAAGGGAGCGTTCCATATTATCATTTTGCGAACATAGTAGGAATGTTACTTTTGAACATTTTCTGAACATTCTGAAACAATTAGTAACATTTAAAAAATGTCTCTGAAAAAAGTAGCGTTATTCAAAAAAATTTTGAATATATATAATATATATATATATATATACGAACAAAGGTCTTACGGGTTTGGATGAGGGTGAGTAATTAATGGCAGGTTTTTCATTTTTGGGTGAACTGTCTCTTTAATAATAGGCATGCTAACAAGCAACTAGTTAATAGCGAGAATTGGTCACCATACTAAAGTGTTACAAAGACATTTTTTTTTAAATGTGCCTTTTAGAAAAAAAAATATACTGGTGTGCATCTTGATACAAATCAATGACAATGACAGATTTTAAGATATGTCAGTGCAATCAGTTAAACCTTGTCTGTGAAACCAGGCATAAATGTTTTAAAAACGTTTTTATTAGTTATGCGAACGTTAAGGGAATATTCCATTTGATTGCATTATGGGAATGTTACTTTTGAATGTTTTATGAACATTCTGAAACAAGTAGTGACATTTCAAAAAAGGTTAAAAAAAAAAACATTCCATGAGCCCTGTATGTTTTTATGCTGACATTAATAAAGACCAGATAACGCTGAGCAAACATTCTATTAACGTTGCTGTTCAGAACTTTGAGAGAACATTCTCCGTTAGCTGGGTGGTGACTCATTTGAGCCTCTTTTATTTTAAGAGAAACAACAGTGATACAAAAGTTCTCAGCTGTGTCTCATTGAGATTGTCCTGTGGTCATGTGATCTGTTAGAGGGGTGTGATGTACTATATTGCTCTGTTCTGGTGTGTGTGTGTCTCAGGGCCTCTCTTTTTCTTGTTTCCTTGGTCACACTGACGGACACACACACTCTCACTATGGCGGCCTCAGAGACATGCAGCTCTGTTCCTGAGGCTCCTGAACCAGAGTCCTGCGATGGACCGCAGCTCGACCAGAACCAGGAGCAGGACCAGACCCTGCAAAACCAGAAGAAGAAGGCGGAGGAATATGAGGACGAGGAGGATGAAGGATCTGAACTTCAGGACCAGGAGCCTTCAGACCCGGAGTGTGTGGAGGAGAGATTCCGGATCGACCGGAAGAAGCTGGAGCTCATGCTGTACGGTCAGTGTTTGATCGATGACGGTAATCTGTCACGGTTTTCTGTAGAATTATTCCAGAAGCTTCATTAACCTGTGCATGCAAATGAAACCCATTTAGAAAGCCACCTGTCATGGTTTTCCAGCAAAATGTCCTTCTGAATGCACTGAGATGTGATGTTAGGGAGCGTTAGATGGATGTGGCCCGTTTGTGTGGCGCTTCTGCTGTGATGAACAGGTTTAATGGTCTGTTATCATGAGCTGTCCAGGAAGATTCTGGAGTCGAGTCAAGTTTAACCGGCCATGATTCATCAACATGAGCTGGAGTTGGCATTCAAATCCCTCAGAGATGAGAGCGAGTGACAGATTGAGCTTGTCAGAGAG